CATTCGAGGATGCAGGTAGAAGCGGGGAGGAGAGGAGAAGGCAGACTAGCAGGAGTGGGAGATGGGCAGTGGGGAAAGGAAGCACAGAGGTGGAAGTGGCTGCGGAAGCAGTAGCAAGTGCAGTGGTATTCAGGAGAAGCACTGGGGAGGTGGCTGCTTGGATCCTTTGGAATGCACATCCACGGGAAGTGGGAGGGAGCAGAAAGTCCCTCATTGTGCCCCTGAAATATAGGAGCTGCCTCACAGGAGGGCAAAGCAGGGGTCAGGGGTGACTCAGTTTCACTAAAACCAGAGGTTGGAGTCATCCTGGGGGCAGCCTGGGGAATGAAAGAAAACTCATTTCCCACACAAGGTGGGAAGGGATGGGCACTAGGAAAGGCAGAATGAAAATACAGGATGTTTAAACAGGAAGAAATGTGAGTCAAACCTGGATCTGACCATGGAGAAAGGTTTCCAGACTGAGGTGGGCAGATGTCTTCTCCGCAGGGACCCCTAAGGTGCCTGGAGGTAGGAATGTCTGTGGTATAGGAATCCTCTGTAACGAGTCGCCTGAGTTCGACAAACTTGGATGCTGAAAACTGGGTGTGCCCAACGGTTCAGCATCAAGGACATCCTTTTTATCATTTCTATTTTTTTTTTTAAGGTTTACTCATTTTTAGCCACTCTGGGTCTTCATTGCCACACCAGGACTTTCCCTAGTCACACTGAGCCAGCACTACTCTCCGCTGAGGTGTGGGGACTTCTCATTGCGGTGGGTCCTCCTGTTGCAAAGCACAGGCTCTAGACTGCAAGCTCAGGAGCTGCAGTGCATGGGGCTTAGTTGCCCTGTGGCATGCGGAATCTTCCCAGACCAGGGATTGAACCAGTGTCCTCTGCACTGGCAGGCGGATTCTTCAGCACTAGAGCACCAGGAAAGCCCGAACAGTTTTGTGTTTTGTTTTTTTAATTTTTAATTTAGTTTTTTTTTAAATTGAGGTATAGCTGATTAATAGTATTATAAAAGTTTCAGGTGTACAAACAAGTGATTCACAATTTTTAGAATTATACTCCATGTATAGTTATTATAAAATCTTGGCTTATGTTCCCTGTGCTGTACAATATCTCTTTATATCTTATTTATTTTATACGTAAGAGTTTGATTCTCTTAATCCCCTGTTCTTATCTTCCTCCACCACTCCCTTTCCTCTCCCAGCTTGGAACCACAAGTTTGTTCTGCATATCTGTGGGTGTTTCATTTTTGTTATTTTGCTGGTTTGTTTTACTTTTTAGATTCCACATATAAGTGATAACACACAGTATTTGTCTTTCTCTCTTTCTTATGTCACTTAACATAATACCCTCCAGATCTATCCATGTTGCAAATGGCAAAATTTTATTTGTTTTCATGGCTGAGTAATATTCCTATACAGACACACACACATACACACAGATATATATGTATTAATTGTTCATCTATATGTGGGTTAATTTCTGGGCCCTCTATTCTGTGTCATTAATCTATGTGTCCGTTTTTGTGCCATACCATATTATTTTGACCACTGCAGCTTTGCAATATAGTTTGAAATCAGGTAGCCTCATACCTCCAGCTTTGTTCTTTCTCAAAATTGTTTGGCTATTTGGGGTCTTTTGTATTAATATTTCTATACAAATTTTAGAATTATTTGTTCTAGTTCTGTGAAAAATGCCACTGGTGTTTTGATAGGGATTGCACTGGGTCTAGATTGTCTTGGGTTCTGTGGTCATTTTAACCATATAAATTCTGCCAATCTGTAAAGACTGTGTATCTTTCCATCCGTTGTGTCATCTTCAATTTCTTTCATCAGTGTCATAATTTTCCTTATATTCCTTTGTAAAATAAATTATAGCTTTTACTGAAGAATTAATTTATTTAGAAAAAATTTAGTGAATTCTGTATTCCCATTAATTCCTTGATCATACGCATGTTTAGTTTTATGTAGAAACAATTTCATGTTCCTCATTCTCCTCTAAAGAATCTATTTTCAGGGATGTTTTAGTTTATAATATAATCTTCACAAATACATTTCATGTTTCATGGAATTGAGAAAACATAATTCCTTTAGGCTTTCCCCATCACTGGACACTGGTTGTTTCTAATTTATCAATGCCATAAACATTGACATAATGAGAAACTTTGCATACCCAGCTTGCCTTGTATCATTGGATGATCTCTCAGTATAAATCACAGGGAAATGCAAACTTTCATACCTCTTGATTACCATTGCTAAGTGCCTTTCCTGAAATTCTTTATGTTTTCACTTTTGACAGCATTCAGTAGACCTGTGTTTCTGCAACCTCACCAGTTTTGGGTTTTCGTTGTTTTTGTGGTTTTCATAGTAACAAATGATTTTTCTTATTTAATAGTTTTCAAGATGGTTATTCAAGAGTCTGGGCTCTTGACTGGCAGAGGGGATGCCATAACTCTTCCTTCATAGATATTGGTTGGCTCCAAACCAAAAGTGACAAGATTTGCCCAGATTTGGGTAGGGAAGTGGGATGGGGGGAACAAGTCTACCTGTGGAGTTGAACTCATACAGACCCTCACCTACATCTTTCCATCAGAGGGCCTGTTTTGAATCTCACACTTATCTTTCTGGACTCACAGCATTGTTTTGGCTAGTTCTCATTTAGATTATCTCTTCTAGACTCTGTGTGGGTTCTCACTATAGTCAAATGTTTATCACTTTTAGCTTTTTCAAAAACTATTTTATTATATATATATTTATGCATAATATAGTTACATTGTTATTATGCATTATTATTTACACATAATTTTGTATATTAGTATACATATATAAGCTATATTGGTATAATATTGATATATATTAATATTAAAGTACTATTTCTCTTTCATATGAATATGTGCTATGATTTATATAATACACAGCCATATATATTAATATACTTATATAGCCTATATTTATACATGTTTATGTATATTAATTATATGTATTATTGCTCTTTCATATGGATGTATTATGTCTTATGATTTATACATAATTATACATACTAACATAGGAGCTTCCCAGGTAGCTCAGTGATAAAGAATCCACCTGCCAATAGAGAAGTCACAAGTTCAATTCCTGGGTCAGGAAGATCCCCTGGAGAAGGAAATGAAAACCCCCCTCCAATATTCTTGCATGGAAAATCCCATGGACAGAGGTACCTAGTAAGCTGCAATCCATGGGTTCACAAAGAGTTGGACACAACTGAGTGACTAAGCATGCATGCATATGTACTAACTTACTTATACAATCTTTGTCAACATAATATTTATATTTATTAATTATACATGTTATTTATTCTTCATGTGTGGAGTCAAAAGCAACAATGCTGGGGCATCAATATGCTGACACTGGTACCCTAGAAAGGACTTCACTGTCTTTGATGCACTTAGTGAGACTGAGAATAAAAATTCTGTATGTTTTCCCACTGCGGCCACCAGCAGCCCCTCTGTGTTGTCATGGTTCTCAGACAAGGATTCCCTGGTGGATGTGTCACCATGAGGATGGCTGGCCCCACCTGGCATTCCTGATTTAGTAGATGTTGATGGTTCCCAAGTATGCTACCCAATTACTTCCCACATGAACAATGTCCATTGACCACACAGTAACTGTGCACATCAGGTCAGTGATCCCAAACTGAAAGCCAACTCCCTGGATATGTTCCGGCCACAGTGCCTAACAGACTGAAATGGCTCCACCTGCCAACATCTCAGGACATCAAGGTGGTCAACCTTGAGAAGCCTGATGAGACAAAATCTTGGCAAATTCCTGACACAGCATCTTCAAGGAGTTCGGTAGAACTCTTGGAGAACTTCACAATGTGAAATTCCTCTGCAACAGAGTTCCCAATGTTGGCTGCACATTGGAAATCCTGAAAACTTCCTTATCAAAGAAACCAGAAATTTAAACCAAGAACCTCCAAAATAATAATAGTGAAAAAGATGTGCCAAATAATTTTCTAAGTACTTTAAATGATCTTTCATTTTTGCAAATTCCCAAATTACATATACACTGTCATTGTCTTTGTTTTATAGATGGAGAAACCAAGGCAGAGAGAACTTAAGTAATGGTTCACAGTCACAGGCTAGAGCCAGGCCTTGGCTTTGGCAGCTCCGGTCCTGTTGACTGACCTACAGCCTTAGGAGTTAGCAACACCAGGTACCTGGGGACTAGCCTGTAAAGAGTATGAGCTGAAGTAAGCAGGCTTACTTGAAAGTCTGTTTAGAGGTAGTTTCCAAGGTCTTTCCCCAGTCATCCACATCCAGGCTATAGCTTTCTGCCCACCCTGCTGAAGATAAGTTGTTTTTGCTTTGGAGAAGGTGGGATGGAGGCATCTGTCCCAACACACCCCATGCAGACAAGAGTAAGCACAGCCAGGGAGAGGCTGGGCTGGCAAATGTTCCCACAGTATGTCCACTACAAAGGGCCTCTGCTCTTCCTTTCTGATAATTAAAACCAAACAGAAATTTTTGAGGACATGAAAGCTGAACAAAATTACAAAAAGATGGAAAGAAGAAAAGATAAGAAATTAGACCACCATATCAGAAGATGCATCAAGCAAATTATAGGAGTTGCAAGAAGAAAAAAGAAAGAGGTAAAGATAGAGGGGAGGGAGGGAGAAAGGAAAGAAGACATGGAAGGGAGGGACAATGAGAGGGGGAAATAATAAAATAATAGGAAAATTTCCTTGAACACGAATACTGAGATATGACCAAGATTGGGGTACAATGAGATCTTTCTATGTTGAAAAGCCTCAGTGGGAGGCACACAGAGACGGAGAAAGAGAAGCAGGTCACATACAAAGAATCAGGATGAGAAACACTGGAAAGTAGACTTCCCTAGAGCCATGCCCTCAAAATAGTGTGGGGTGATTATTTCTGATTGGGCTTTTATACCCAGCCAAATAATCAACAAAGGTGAAGGGAGAACAAAGACAGTTTTAGATATTCAAAGTCTCAAAAAAGCCTTTTCGCGAACATGGCAATGAAGACAAAGAAGGAAGCCCCTGCCCCACCTGAAGCCAGAGCCAAAGCAAAGGCTTTGAAGGTCAAGAAAGCAGTGTTGAAAGGCACCCACACCCACAAAAAAAAGATCTGGAAGTCACCCACTTTCCGGTGGCCCAAAGCACTGCGGCTCAGGAGGCAGCCCAAATATCCTCAGAAGAGCACTCCAAGGAGAAACAAGCTTGACCAGTACACCATCATGAAATTCCCCCTCACCACCGAGTCAGCCATGAAGAAAATAGAAGACAACAACACACTGTTACTCATTGTTGGTGTCAAGGCCAGAAAGCACCAAATTAAACAGGCTGTGAAGAAGCTCTATCCCACTGACATGGCTAAGGTGAATACCCTGATCAGACTTAATGGAGAGAAGAAGGCATATGTACGACTGGCTCCTAACGATGATGCTTCGGACATTACCAACAAAACTGGGATTATCTAAACTGAGTCCAGCTGGCTAATTCCAAATATAAAAGTTTTCACTATGTATTTAAAAAAAAAAAAAGAGTCTCGAAAAAAATCTGCATTTTTCCTCAGGCAGCTACTATGAGATATACTTCCCCTCACCCCTCAGGGCAAATATTTAAAAGAGGAAGCCATAGGCTGCAGGAAATGGGACCCAATCCCAGACAGAGGGGAAGGGAAATTCCAGGGTGATAATGAGGGGACTTCCAAGATGGCCCTGCAAGAGCAGGCAGAAGGTGACCAGAGAACATGGTTCATGAATGCAAAACTGAGCAAAGAAAGAGACAGTTCAGACTCCTGGTGGGACTTGGGGTACTATTCATGATAAGTACAAAGAATCTGAAACAAATTAAAAAGACAAACTTTCAACTCCAAGGAATGTAAGAAATTGGTGCAGAAAAGGAAAAATAATTTCCATGTAATACATGGCTCAGTTCTCAGTAATATTTGCATAATTAAAATAATGTAAACACTGAATGTTAATCCAGTCAAAATACACTGTATTTGTACAGGGAGAAATGGGGTCTGGGAAGTGCATTTATGGTGTGAATGTTTTATAAATTTTGAAGAACCAATTGATTCCAAGAAATAATGGAAACTCATTACTGCTGGGAAAAGAATGGATGAGGGCTGCCATTTCTCCCAACACGTCTTATGCAGCAGATGGACCATGCAGATGACGTACATACACAACTTTAGACTGAAGGTTTGTAGATCAAGTACTATGATCCGTTACCCAACCAGGAAAAAAGTGTTCTCCCTTAAGCCTCTGATTTTGGCAGTTTTGTGTCTTAGTGGTCTTGCCAGGAGGAACTGGCTGTAAAATGTATTTCCACACGTCTAAGTGAATTGATGCATTGGGGGAAGGTTCTTATGGTTGTCAGGCTGCATGGTGGGAGACTGCCAAGACTGATGGCTTGTTTTATAAAAATTCATACTAAGTGGTTCTGCCAGTCACGTGACCTACAGTTTGGCTGATCTTTGGGCCACTCCTGCTGGTGGCCTCAAAGTTTCATTTATCCTCAGGGCAAGGTGTCACCATTTGCTAAGAGGGCATAAAGTACACTCATATAAAAATCTAATCTAGTGGGTATGCAAAACGGTGCCACCACTTTAGAAAACAGATCTTTAAAAGTTTAGACACAGACTTACTCATCCACCCAGCAATTCTACTCTTTAGAATCTACCCAAGAGAAAGGAAAATATACATCCACAAAAGACTTATACATAAACGCCCATAACATCATTATTCATCATAGCCAGAGAAAACAACAGAGATGTCCATCAACTGGTGAATGAAACACTACTCTGAAGGAACAAACTATTGATACCCACTATAGCATAGATGAACCCAAAATTGTAATGCTGTGAAAAAGAAGCCAGATACAGTAGACCACCAGTACGATTCTATTTTGGGTCTTCTCTGGTGGCATGGTCCTATTTATATGAAATATTCAGACAAAGCAAATCTATTGAGACGGAAAGCAGATCAGTTGATGCTGTGGGGACGATGAGGTGGAGAGCAGCAAGGACTGGGAATTAACTACAAACAGGCACAAGGAATATTTTTATTCATTTTTTAATGATTTTTTTAAAACATTTATTTATTTGTTGGACTGTGATGTTCTTAGTTGTGGCACGTGGGATCTCCAACCTTCATTGTGGCATGCAATATCTTTAGTTGCAGCATGCAAAATGTTAGTTGCCGCATGTGGGATCCAGTTCCCTGACCAGGGATCAAATCTGGACCCCCTACTTTGGGAGCTTGGAGTCTTAGCCACTGGCTCACCAGGGAAGTCTCACAAGGAAGTTTGAAGTTTTCTAAGGTGCCAGAAACATTTTAGAACTATGTTGTAGTGATGTTAATAGTGAAAGTGAAAGTGAAGTCGCTCAGTCGTGTCCAACTCTTTGCAACCCAGTGGACTGTAGCCTACCAGGCTGCTCGGTCCATGGGATTCTCCAGGCATAAATACTGGAGTGGGTTGCCATTTCCTTATCCAAGTGATGCTTATAAAGTCCTGTAAATTTACTAAAAATTACTAAATCATAAAGATAATTTACTAAAAATTAATTTTTGAATGGGTGGATTTTATGGTATGCAAAAAAAATTTTGTTTAAGAAAAATATTTGGAAATACTTCTTTATTTTAAAAAATGGAAACTAAGACAGTATTTTGTGTAAAACCATCTCCATTCTGATTCTCCCAGTGATATTATGGGTTAAGCCTTCCTTCAGATCCTGTATTTCTCATACACCGTGTTACATGAAGTCAACTACTCTGCACCTCACCAACAGCAAAGATGCTTGGGACAGTATAGGGTGAGATGAAGAAAGACATATCTAGCAAAAGAAAGGGTCTTCAGTTATAGTGAAAGTGAGGGAATATTTTTCAGCTTTTAAAATGGGGGTGTAATATATTTGAATTTTCTCTGAGGAGTTGTATGCCTATGACATTACATTTTGAAGTAGATGATCTTCTCTTAGGACACATTTCAACATTAAATGCTGGCTCAGTTGGTAAAGAATCTGCCTGCAATGCAGAAGACCCAGCCTTAACCCCTGGATCAGGAAGATCCTCTGGAGAAGGAACTGGCAACCCACTCCAGTATTCTTGCCTGGGAAATCCTATGGACAGAGGAGCCTGGTGGGCTACAGTCCATGGGGTCACAAGAGTTGACACGACTGAATGACTAAACTACCACTACCACAAGGGTGACGATACTGAGTCCCATCTAGAGATACTGTTGATGTAAATTGGAAAGGATACTCACAAATGTATACAGTAAAATATGCAGTTTTTATCAAACTATCAAAGCATACTAGGTTTAAAGAGTTAGCATGGACTTAGAAGAAATGTGACTACCTCTAGCTTGGCCTAAGACCTCCCTTTCAAGGATAAAGAATAATGGAGGGCTGGCTGATAATAATCTTTAATGTTATATAATCTATACCACTATAAATGAATAATAACATGTGAATAATGTATAATAATTTATAATACTACATGTGAATATTTCCTTACCCTGAGTCTACCAGCTGCTATTCAGTACTATTTAGTTGTGATTATAGGTTAGCTTTTCCCTGTATTTCTCTATTGAGTTACTTACTTAGAGGTGTGGTCAAGAGGAAATAGCTTTTCAAATTTAAATTTTCCAAATAAGAGTTTAGAGTAACCATTACTTGATGCTAAGCATTCACACCTCCTATAACAGTAATGTTAACCGACGGGAGCATAGAACATATAATATTCAAAACACTATAATGTTTTGAATTAGACATCTGAGTGATAGTTACACCTTAATAAAAGGAGTTTGTGTATTTAGGAATCTCAGGCCAGTTCCATCAGAAAGTCATGTCAAGAACAAGAAAATAAATGATATTTTTAGTTCCAGAAGACTCGGAAATTTTGTCTCTGTTACTAGATCTGTTACTAGATTTGCCTCTGTTATATAGATCTGCATGATTGGTGCAGTGCTGTCAGGATAGATTCGACTATACTATGGTAACAAAAGACCCAGCATCCTGTGGCACATTTATTACTTTATCTCCACATCAACCCTGGGTCAGCTGTTCTTTGCTCCCTGTTGTCTTCTCTTGGGGACTTCTCTCTTGTGCCCACGGTCCTGTGCAGACAGAACACTGCTGGCAATGATCACATTTCAAGTTTCTCTCAAGAAGTGACACTGCTTACATTTCACTGGCCAGGGCAAGTCACGTGGCCATGCCTGAGTTGTACATGGTGATGCCATTCAGTCTTCCTGAAGAGAGTGGAGAAATGAGTAGTGAACAACTTTCCCATCCAGGCTGCCACATAGCAGCAAGTGAAGTTCCATGTGCTATATAGTAGGTCCTTGTTAGTTATCCAATTAAAATATAGCAGTGTGTACATATCCATCGCAAACTCCCTAATTCTCCCTTCCCCCCACTAAAGGAAATAAATTCTAACATGTACTAAAACAGCATGAATCTTGAGGACATTCTGCTAAGTGAAATAAACCAATCACAAGAGGATAAACACTGTGTGATTTTGCTCATGTGAAGTAGCTAGAGTAGTTAGATTCATAGAGACAGAAAAGAGATTGGAGGTTGCCAGGGGCCAGGGGAGGGAGAAATGGACATTTTTGTTTAATGAGTATTAAGTTTTGACCTTATAAGATGAAAGAAACTCTGGAGAGTGAGTGTCCAACAATTTGAATGTAACTAACATTACCGAAATGTACACTAAAAAATTATTAAAAGGGTAAATTTTATGCTATATGTATTTTATCACAGTGTTTAACAAATAAATATCAAAAGAAAAAACCTATATGACCTCAGTTGTTACAAATGCACAACTGTGAGGGGGCATATTGATAATAGGAGAGGCTATGTGTATGTGAGGGCAAGGGGCATATGGGAAATCTCTGTACTTTTCTTTCAGTTTTTTGCTATAAACCTAAACCTGCTCCAAAAATAAACTTTTAAAAATTAAAAAAAAATTTTTTTTAACTATATATCCACTAAAACAAGGAGCCTTTATAGAAGAACAGAAAAAGGAGGTAGGTGTAAAGTGGCCCAGGTGGCTCAGTGGTAAAGAATTCTCCTGCCCATGCAGGAGATGCCAGTTCGATCCCTGGGAGGGGAAGATCCCCTGGATAAGGAAATGGCCACCCATTTCCAGTTTCTTGCCTGGGAAATACCATAGATAGAGGAGCCTGGTGGGCTACAGTTCATGGGGCCCCAAACAGTCAGACATGACTTAGCAACTAAACACCAGCAGAGTAGAGGGACCATATTCAGGAGAAAAAGAAAAAAAATTTAGGACACCTGCTTAAATCTGAACCTTGTATAAGTCATTTTTTTATTTTTTAGCATGTTTATCCCATGTAATATTTGAGTCATAATTATACCCCCAAATCATTTGTTGTTTATCTGAGACTCAAGTTTACCTTGGTGTCCTGTATTTTATCTGGAAACCCTAGACCCAGGACCCTGAGC